AACCAAATGAAATAGCCAGTTAGATCTGGAGTAGGGAAGTAACCTGAACTGACCTCAGAGCTTTAGGTCACCTTGGTTATGGAAATTGAAGGGCAATGATTCAAGATAACCAGACCCAGTTCAGTGCTCATTATAGGAAACAGCAGGTCTCATTCTCAAAATAAGAACTCCAGCCCAGCTCCTTTGTAGCACAGCTCTCCAGGAGAGCACTCAGAGCTCATCTCTGCAGTATCTGAAAAGAACCCAATTCATTCTTAGCATAAATTCCATGAAGTAGAGTGAGCCATAGAAGTACTCTAAGGGAGTAAAAAGATACTTTATACATTTATTTGTGTGTGTGTGTGTGATGTTGATGGTTGGTACTCTTTTGTAGATCAGAAGATAACATGCAAGAGTTGAGTCTTTCCTTCTACTGTATGAGAGCCTGGGATAGAACACGGGCTGCCAGGCTTCGTGGCAAGCACCTTTACCCACTGAGCTATTTCACTAGCCTCCTCTCTAAGAAGTTTTAATAAAGGAAGTTAATAACATAAATATAACTCTTATTCACTGCTTGAGGAGTGAGCGTGTATGTTAACGTCATTTTCTCCTGTCTCCCTCCTCCTCTCTGTCTCTCTGTCTCTGTCTGCACCTCACCCCCATCACTATGCTGCTTAGGTTGGCCTCATACTCCCTATCCTCCTGTCTCAACCTTTTTTTCCTCTGCTTCTTGAAATAAAGGTATACTGTTGCAACATGCTAGGCAAATGTTTTTAAGGCCAGAAAAATGTTTTTAATCAAGATGGGCTTTGATTGTTAATTTTACTATGGCTCAATGTAGAGCTAGAATCTTGTATCCTTATTTCTGAAACTTGTCAAGCTGACATTTTGTTGTGAGGCTGTTTTAAACAATATGGCTACATCTCAGACATATATCATGGATTCAATGTTAAAACCATTTCAATTTAGAGCTGATTTAAAGTTATTATTAAGTTACTACTGCTTTCATTCTTGTAGTCCATTAGAAATGTTATGCATCTGTATTAGCTGGTTTTCTAATCTCTGCAGCTAAATTCTGGATAAGAAGCAACTTAAGGGTGGAGGTTTATTCTGGCTCACACTTCAAAGGAGTGCATTCCATCAATGGTGGCAGGCATGGCTGTGGGAGGGGCTTGGTCCTTGGCAATCACAAGAAAGCTGTGCATAGTCGTGTGTTTATCTTTTCCTTCTTTTAACATTTGGGACTCCAGTCTATGGATTGGTGCCACCTACATTTAGGGTAGTTCTTCACTCCCCAGTCAAACCTCTTTAGAAATATCCCCACAAACACAAACCAAACATATACTCCAATTTAGAGCCTGGGTGTTTCTTAACTCAAACAAGTCAACATTCCAAATTAACCTGCGACAGTACAGAAAATGACCATTTAGAAACTAAAGTTTCCATAACAATTCCTCAAGCAAATTTTGGCAAATTTGAAATAATCCAAGTTTTGAAGTTATTGAGACAGTTTATGATGACTAACTAACTCTGCCTCAGCAGGACACATGAGAAAGGGGGCTTTGGCGTTCATACGTTCCTTTGAAATTCCACTAGAATTATATGAGAAATGATTTCAGAGTTTTGTAGTTCCTTATTTTTGCAACAAAATCTAATGTCAGCCATAGTCAGAGCCACTCTCTGGCCAGGCAAAGCTGTGAAAACTCTTCCCCGTCCCTGGAGAGTAGATTCTTATCTGTATTTAAACCTAGAGAGTTTGATTTAAGTAGGTCCCTAATTGTTTCCATTTGAGACAAGTATCTTGCCTTACTAATGTATTATAGATCTTATCCAATTCTATGTAATTTATTAATTTGGTCTTCTGGAAGCGAACATACCTTTAGATTTTCTGGTGTTTCTAGGTCTCATTTTCTTTTGTTTAGTGACAGGGGCACCTTCTTTTCCAAAGCTGTTCAGTATAAACACACTTTGATCTTATGATGCAACTTGTTTTTTATGAATCAATTGTAACATTTAGTGCTGCCCAAAGGGCTAGCATACACTTTCTAAGTAGTATGAATAATGATGGGAAATGGAAAGTGGTTTTATTTTTGTTTGTTTTGTTTTAAAGACCAATTGGAAGGAGCTTATTAAAACCCCATTTGGTTAGCCCCTATTAGTGATCTGGTCCCTGCAACTGAACAAGCAGCTTAGTGAATGGCAATGCCTAATCCAGTGTAAGTCTGCCTAAAGGACTGTGACTTCACAAAGGAGTTCTCCCTTGTGTAGTTATTCAAAAGGCCAGAGCAAGGAGAATTTGTAGAAAGAAGGAAGCATCTTTTAGTCTAGGGAATATCTACATCATGTTTGCTCCAACAAGGAACATCTGGCATGTAGGGTATATGGTAATGATGACTGTTCTCACTACTAAGGTCTGGATGTGCACATCTGCTCCGATAAGTGGCAATTTTACGTATTGATCTGTGTCTGCATTTGGAGCTGTGGAGATTATATTCCGGTTGAGAATCTCTTTGGTAATAAGCTTCATTGAATTTTCCTTAACCCAGAAGGAAGGGGAAATAGTGATGCCTCCAAAATTTTTTCTATGTTATGACTTTATTCTTTTGTCCTCATTTCTAGAAATCTAATTTCTACAAAAAGCAAGCAAAGATGCCATAACATAACGTAAAATAAATAATGCACTTACAATTTATATTGATTTATCAATTTACCTGAGTATGTAAGAATAAAATAAATTTTAGGTACATTTAAAATTACAGACGGAATAATTCCCTTCCTCTTACCTTTCCTTTCAAAAAATTCTTCTATTCTTCCAATGTATTTTTATTTTCCCAACCCTAATTCTTTATAGCATCCAGTTCTAGCATTTTATTAGGGAAAGGGTTTCAGCATCCTGGTGTACCTATGTCATTTTTCTCCTCATTGTGACTACTTAACCTGCCTTTAAATTGTGCATATTCCAAATCATAATAACCATTTTATGCATCTAGCTATTGAAATTGGGATTAAAAATTACCAATATTTTGCTGATTTTGTACTCTAGGACATATTTCTGAGAAATAAGCAAGAAGCTCATGTCTTCTGTTTTACTTTCACATAAAATACTCATTGCAATAAATGTTCATGAAGAACTGGTAGATGCTATTACCCTTTGAATTATAATAATTATCACCTCAAATGACATGACTAAACTACTAATAAAATCAAAAGAAAGTTGGATGACTTTACATATTCAATCATGTTCATTTAGTGACAATATAAAACTCAGACCAAGGAGGAATTTATGTACTTCTTGATCTTAATGGATCTTATTGATTATAGCTTTTGGGCCATATTATTAATATATATTGTACATTGAGACAGAGCCTGAACATTTTACCTCACAAGGCTATAGTGTTTTCTAAAATGTTGTCCGCAATTGGACTTAGCTTTTGTGCATGAAAGAGTCTTACTGGTATACAAACACATGTAATATTCATTCTCCATAAAAAGCTCAAAAAACACAAGGTGGGGTAATGCAGAAATTGAACAAAGTACATATAGACTGTTATCCATGAGAGAAAACTAAAAGAGAAAAAAAAGTATTTGACCTTTCAACCTCAATTTTTTACTGGTAGTAAGTTTTGGGCCACCAAAAGGAAGCCCACACATGGCCTGAAAGTCTTGAGGCAAAGGCTATCATTTACAGAGGGCAATACTCAAGATGAAATGGCAGAAAAAAAGGAGCTCTGTGTGTCGGCAGAGAGATTTCTCTTGCTTTTGGCTAAGTACCTATCTGATTCAGGCACGAGAAGGACATTTCTAAGGCCAGTAAAAATGAGTTAGGAGTCAGTAGGCAGATCACCTCCTGAAGCTCCCATCAGCCACTGTGAAGAGAGCTCATGAAACACAGGGCATTCGTGAGAATCTCTAGACTACTCATGTCAACGAGGCTCAATTAGTCCTAGATTAAATCCTCTAGATCTCACAAAAGAAGAATGGAAATAATAAGACACAAGCAGAAATCACTAAAATTGAAACCTAGCTCTTTGAAGAGAATAAAATTGATTAATTTATAGCTGGATTAGCTATAAGGAGTAGGTACAGCAAGACCAAAGGATTAAAGGCTAATATTCAAAACTAATTGTATGAATTAACAATGAACATAAAACAAGATAATTAGATTCACAGCATGATGAGCAATGAGGGATACTAAGAATTAAACTTGACAAAATACTTGTGTAAAAATGAATGCTTAGCAAAACTCTCCTCTGAGAAATTAATGAAGATCTAACTACAGAAGATGTACCATGTTTATGGATTTAAGGACATATTATTGCCTGGGTAACAGCTAAAGACTTAATACAAAACCCACCCAATCATGGTAGATAATCTAAAGAAAAATAATACATCGAATCAAGAATGTATAAACACTTATGAAAGACCCAAACAGCCAAAATAACTACATGAAAGAATGATCTTGGAAGATTTCCATATTCTAACTTCCTGATGATCTGTCTCTAAGCAGTGATAATCAATAGGCTGACCCTGAGTTAGGGATGTAGTTGTAGACAATGGAACCAAATAAAAGAGTCTAAGACTACTCTGTGCTACACAATAAGTCTAGGATAATCATTTTCAACAAACTGTGCTAAGAGAATTTTATAATTGTTTAGAAAATGAACCAAACCCTAACACCTTACTCCATTCCTTAAACCAGTGATTCCCCACCTGTGGATCAAGACTCCACTGGCGGAAGGGTCTAATACCCCTTTGATAGAGGTCACTTAATATTAATCACATGATACAAGAGGTAGAAAACATAGACATTTATATTATGATTCATAAGAATAGTAAAAATTTAAATTATGATGTAGTAACAAAAATAATTTTAGGGTTGGGAGTCACCACAGTGTGAAGAACTATATTAAACGGTCACAGCATTAAGAATGTTGAGAACCGAATGAACAGGTAGGACCGACAGAGCTGCGAGGCTGGAAGGTGACCCGGTAGGTATTCTTGATCGGCAGCTTCCTGTGACAATGGAAGGTAACGGGTCGATCGACATGTTCTCAGAGGTCCTAGAGAACCAGTTCCTCTAGGCTGCTAAGCTCGTGGAAAGTCACTTGGACTCTGAAATTCAGAAACTGGATCAGATCGGTGAAGATGAGCTCGAACTCCTCAAAGAAAAAAGGCTGGCAGCACTCAGGAAGGCTCAGCAGCAGAAACAAGAATGGCTCTCTAAAGGACATGGGGAGTACAGAGAAATTGCCAGTGAGAGAGACTTTTTTCAAGAAGTCAAGGAGAGTGAAAAGGTGGTTTGTCATTTCTACAGAGACACCACATTCAGGTGTAAAATACTAGACAGACATTTGGCAATTCTGGCCAAAAAACATCTGGAAACCAAGTTTTTGAAGCTAAATGTGGAAAAGGCACCATTCCTCTGCGAGAGACTTCGGATCAAAGTCATCCCCACACTAGTGCTCCCGAGAGACGGCAAGACACAAGACTATGTTGTGGGATTCACCGACCTAGGAAATACAGATGACTTCACTACGGACACGTTGGAGTGGAGACTTTGTTGTTCTGACGTTATCAATTACAGTGGAAATTTAATGGAGCCACCATTTCAGAGCCAAAAGAAATTTGGGACAAACTTCACAAAGCTGGAAAAGAAAACTATCCGAGGAAAGAAATACGATTCTGATTCTGATGATGACTAGACTGCGCTGTCCTTGTAAACTGTCTGTCTGTCTGTCTGTCCACTTACTTCAGAGTCAAGTGTGTTTCTACAGTCCCTTGATTTCTGTCCAGTGCCCACACTACTTCCACATGGAAGGGCTTCGTTAATTACTATATTGTGTGTAACTTAAGAAACAGATATTTTAAGTTACCTGGAAAGGGTCTGGATTCTATTTTTTTGTGGTTAGTTTTATCGTAACATACTTCTATTATCTTTATACCACTCACACTTGTGTTTTTAATCTATTGAATTAGAAATAAAAATTCAGCCAACTTAAAAAAAAAAAAAAAGAATGTTGAGAATCACTGCCTCAAATAAATATGAAGGCTAAATAAACCATGGGCAACATGTCTGTCTAAATGCAGCAGTAAATCTACGAGACTTGGAGAGGTCCTCTAATTATGTGCCAACAAATGAGCAAAGAGACTGAAATTTACTTCACAAAAGAAGATCCGAGAATGGCAATGAATACATAATTTATTGAATTCTCAGTCACACTGACCACCATGAAAAAGAAAAATAGAACTGCCCATAGATACATTGCTGTTGAGATGAAAAAAGATGGACCACACTAAGTGTTAGCAAGTGTTAGCTGATGGGATTGGAAATGATTCATTAATTTGTAAATTCTTCAGCAATTTTAATGTATTATATAAAAATATACATATCTGTTTTACTACACAATATATATAGTAATTAATTAAATAAAATAAATATAGTAGTTACACACACACATACATATTATAAATTCTGGCTAAATAATTAAATATTTTAAATATATTCTGTCTAACTAATCACAATCCCCAATATTCCAATATTAGGCTAAAGGAATAAACATTTATTTACACTTATGTAAAAACTTGTATGAGTATATGAATAACACCTCTTCTAATTTGTAGGTAATTATACAAAAGTTATGACTATAGGAAAGATAGTTACACAGTGATTTCAGAAAGCTGGGGTGAGAGTGTAGAGGGGTGTCATTAATCACATGATGTGTGAGTCAAACAAGTGCCAAAGTTAGTAGGGCACCATAATCATACTCCAAATATATGCATGAAACTAAGTTTTGTGGGGTGATTAAAAATAGCAAAACAAACTAGGGAAATACTTGCAATGTAAAACAAAACCAAAGGAGTGTTATTGTTTCTAATAAAGTACTTTTACAAATGAAAAAGAAGCTTAATTGAAAATAGATGAATTTTATAAGAAAGCATTTGATGGAATATCTGGAAAAGACAGAACGGAGAACAGGATCTTGGTATCCAAACTTAACTATCATTTGCAGAACTCTTGAACTGAATGCCTGCTATATGTACACCTTCACACGGAGATGGACATGAGGTGGGCTTTCTCACACCTAGGAGGAAGTGACCCGGCATGGGTGTGTCCATATTCCAAAGTGATGTGATGACTGGATCAAACTGTGTTACAATAAGACACTATTGTTATTACTTAATAATAATATAGAAAACTTGAATTTTACCTTGATAAAGATTCATTTCATATTGAAAACTGATTAGTATCAATGTATGTAGTATGGTAGAATACAAACGTTTCTGATATTTATGATTTATTAATGCTTAATGGAGGATTCAGAAAGCAAACTCAGCCACAAGCCATAGAAACTAGGCACACACCTTTAATCCCAGCAGCTAGAAGCTAGGAGGAGGTGGTGGTACACACTTTAATCCCAGGACTCAGGATTAAAAGGTAGATGGATATCTGTGAGTCCAAGACTACCCATATATACACCAGATTGAATCAGTGTAAAGCAGAATTATAGCTCATACCTTTAATCCCATCATTAGAGGGGTATAAAAGTCAGTATGAGGCATTCTTTCTCCAGTCACACTGAGGAGAGGTTACAGTCTGAGGCTTGGTGACAGCTCGTGGAGACAGGATCAACCCTTTCAGCCTAAGGTAGAGGCCAGCTGCTTTGCTTTTCTGATATTCAGCTTGAAGTTTGAACCCCAATATCAGTCTCCGGGTCATTTTGTGTGTGTGTGTGTGTGTGTTACATGTTTCAACTTAATAAAGGTAGACTATTAGTATATTGGGGTGGTTACTTGTATGAAATACATATTGCATTTGAAAGCACATGGTTAAACATTAAAGAATACTTATTTAAATGAATAAGCATTTGCTACCATTAGCAACAAAAGAGCACACAAGTTTCAGAGATGCTTTTCAATAATAATAATCTAAAAGCTATTTTAAATGACGTAATCTTAAAAAGTTAAACAAAAATGTCATATTTTAAATAAGCAAAGCAAAGGGAAAAAGCATGTTCTGATGACATAGCAAGAGGTAAGGAGAGGAAGAAATAAACAAAAGGCTCTCAGGAAAGAGAGGGAAGCCTCAGGAGTCACCCAACTAAGCGAGAACTGCACAGGGGACAATAGCCTCACATGTCATTGGATAGAGCGTCCCACGGTGCAGATGAACATGCCATGGCCAGAAGGGGACTTGCAGATGGTGGAAGGCAGTAGAGACTTCTCTCAAGTATCCCTTCTGGAAAAAGTCATTTTGGGATGGGGTGGAATCCTCTTGTGAATAGATGTAAAAAGCAAAAAACAAAAAAAGACATGGTAGGCATTATAGCCACTACAGAAATTTGACACCCATATGGCTTTCCTGCTTCTTGAACTAGGCCTTAGGAAGCCTCTGCCAGCTCTCCCAGCTCCTTAGCTTGCTTGGGTTTCTTGCTCTGTATCTTCAATGTGTGGCCAGTTGGCTGGCTTGAGTCTAGATAGCTGTCAGAGATGAGCAAGTGAGAGGGATCATTTAAAAACTGCTTAGATTGCTCAACACTTTTCATGACTGCTTGATTCTAACAGTAAACAACTTTAATTTGCGCTGTCATTGTGTTTTTCTTTATTTTTTTTTTACATTAACCTTTATTCACTATTGTTCTGGCTAGTTTTATGTCAACTTGAAACAAGCTATCATTATCTGAGAGGAGGGAACCTTAGTTGAGAAGATGCTTCCCTAAGATCTTGCCTGTAGGGCATTTTCTTGGTGATTTATGGGGAAATATTCAGACCTGGGCTGGGGTCCTGGGAGATATATATATATATATATATATATATACAGTTTGTGCAAGCTGGGAGGAGAAAGCTGTGAGGGGTACACCTCCACCGTCTCTGCAACAGCTCCAGTCTCCATGTTCCTGCTCCATCTGAGTTCCTGTCCTGACTTCCTTTGATGATGGACGCCTAAGCCAAATAAACCCTGCGTCCCCACTTGCTTTTTGTTGTTGTGTCTTATCATAGCACTAGTAACCCTAACTAATAACATTACACTTTAAATGGTCTGGGTGAAGAAAAAAAAAAAAAAACAATTGGTCAAGGTAAAAAGTTTGGGAAACCTCATTCTGAAGTATAACTATAAGATGTTAAGAGATGGTGACTATTTGAGGACAAGGATAACTTTGTTAACTTTTGAACTGGCTTCTCTGCTACAGTTGGGATGCTGGCTATCTCTCAAAGGCAGATGTGTTAAAAGATTGGTTCTCCAGTGGCACAGCTGGGAGGTGGTAGGGTCCTCAAGAGTTGAACCCCAGGAAGTCTTTGGGATCTTTGCAGTTGCCCCTGAAAGGGATTGTGGGTTGCATACCCTTATTCCTTTTGTGCTTCCTGGGTCACAGAGGCAAAAGTCCACCCCCAGCACTCCCACCACAATGTAATGAGCCATCACAGATGCCAGCTAATGCTCTTATACAGCCAGCCAGTGCCAGAGCTGTAAGCCAAAATATGTAGGTCAATTATTTCAGTATTTTGTTAGAAAATGCACCAATGAACACTCTCTGGATCACACAAATGCTACTGGCTCTTTTCTTTCCCCTTATTTATGTGGAAGTGCACCATTGGTGAGTGCCATCACTATTTCAAGTAGAAAAAGGAAAAGCACCCTCATGAGGAAACAGAAGTGGTTTTGCCTTTTAAATTCCAGGCAGAATAAGTGAGTGAGTGGTTCACATCTGGCTCGAAGAGCTGCCAGGGATGCAGGAAACCTGAGAGTTAAAATATTAAAAGAAAAACAAAGGCTAGCTGGCAGCAGGAAGTGCAATGGCAACCTTGCCTGTAAGTGTGAAGTGTCATTATTTAAAGTAGACCTCTTTGCTTGGAGCTGTGCTATAGCAAATGGTTAGCATTCCATACAAGGGTCATAGGTTTTGAAATCAGTTGGACAAATCAAACTTCTTTGGAAGCAGATATTTTCCTTTGTTTCTCTAAATTCATGCTATCTTTTCTTTATCTTAATGATGCCATTTGTTATCAAAGAAATGGTTGAGTTATAATAATGTAGAAGCTAATTCGAACAGAAACTGTCATGCAAAACAAAAACATACTTCAAAAATATTCAACTCTGTGCAGTCAAATCCTTTATAAAAAGTGATAGTGGTCATTATCAAATGGTTTCTGAGATGGTAGCGTATCATTTAAAATAAACTGTTCCTGCTTTTTAATTTTTCTCTTTTTACTGTTGAATAGAAGCTAAGAATAGGGCTATCTAGATCTTGCAGCTGGGCTAATACCACTGATTATAAGATTTAGTGTTCTTAGTAAAAGTTATAATGACTCTCCAAGGCCTGTTGAAGCTTAGAATTATCCTATTTCTCTCCCCCTCTCTATTTTTCTCTCCAAACCCAAGCTTGGGATCCAGCTGGCAAGCTGCACAATTGCATCATCAAGCCTCATGCCTTCCCACAGTCCTGACATTGCCAACATTTTCTTTGCCTAGAAATGCCTCAGATCCTCCTTTTCAGTTTCCAGGCGCCCATCCACATCCCCCCATCCCCACTCCAGCCTCTTTGGACAACCCCAGCTCAGGTGACCTCTCTCTCCCTCAGCTAAAAATGTCCAGAATATCTTGAGAATTTTATAGCTTAGTGCTCGCCACTTATCTTGCTCAGCAGGCTGTCTGCACACTGCAAGGACGTGCTCTCAAGATCCAGAGAGAGGAAATCCTGACACAGCCAAACAGG